CCCTGCGGCGGAGGCGATGGCTTCTCCCCCCCCCGGCAGCGTCTCCCCCCTGCCCTTTTGGGGGGGCAGGGGCCCCGTCCCCCCCGGTTTGGGCTCCCCGCTCCCCTGCCGAAGCCCTCTGAGCCAAACCCCCCCCAGCCGCCGCGGCTCAGCCAGGAGTGGGACCGGACCTACCCCTTTTTGGCAAAAATAATGCAACCCCCAAAAAAAAAAAAACGTTCAGGGGGGAGGCAGCGGGCTGAGCCCCCATGGGGACCCCCCTCGCCTCCACGGGTGCGCGCACTCCTCGGCCGACCTCCGCCTCTCGCCTTCCCCGGAGCGGTGAAGCTTTTGGGGACTGGAAAAGCTTTTTGGGGACTGAGCTGGGTGGTGAGAGTGCGCACTGCGCCCGGAGGGACCCCCACCCCGACATCGTCCAGCTGAAGAACGGGCTGCAAGCCCCGACGGGCCAGGTAGCCCTCCAAAAAATACAGAAAAACGGGAGGAAAAAGGCATCGGGTCCCCGTCTCCGTCCCCAGGGCTCCGGCTGCCCACGCTGAAACGCGGCCCTGGGGAGAAGGCCAGCGCGGGCTGGGGTGCAGGCAGCTGCCATCTCCCAGGACAACTTCAGGCAGGAGGGGTGGGACAAGGGGCAGGGGTGGTGCTCGGGCTGGGGGGTCCCCGCAGCTCCCGGGGGTCCCGGCCCCGCAGCACGGGTGCCTCCCGGGGCTGGGGTCAACCCCTTCCCTCGGCCTCCCGCCGGGTTTCCACAGGCAGCAAAACGAACTCGCGCTTTCGCTGCGCCCACGGGACGTGGGGCACCGGCTCGTCCTTTCCTTTATCGAAGAGGAAGGGCGTCGGTGAAAAAAAATCATTTATCTGCCTTGAGAAGAGCCAAAGTCTTCACCCGCGCTCGCCCCACGACGTCCCGGGGCGGAGGGCGCTGGGGAAACGCGGACGCGGCTCTCCTAGGGAAGGCCAGGGACAGCCCCCCGGGAAAGGGGCCATGCGTGTCCGTGCTCCGAGTGGTCCCTTGCACCGCGAAGCCCCAAGGGGAAGGTCCGACACCTTTCCGCTCCAAGAAGCAGCACCATTGGTTTCGGCCTCAGGACCGAATCCAGGTCCATGGGGACGGCTGCCAGCGCCGGGCCGAAGGCGAGGGACGGAGCCTTTGACACTTTAACGCCGCGCTCTGCGACCCGCCAGGACAGAGGAGGGCTGGCCGCAAAGAAGGGAAAGCAGAACAAGCGAGAAGGGCGATGGACGTGCTGACGGGTGCTGAAGGCCACCAGCAGCCCTCACGTCTTTGATGCAGCGGAACAGGGGCCAGAAACATCTGCCGGGCTGCAGAAGTGGCGCACGTTGTTCTTGCCCACCCTGGGAGCAGGCGCAAAATCAAAGCACCCCAGAAACGGGGGTGTTTCGGCGTTCACCCGCCGCCCCGAGGCGAGGAGCTCCGCGTTGAGCGGCACCAGCTCCCTCCTCAACGCAGCCATTAAACCCAGCGCAGCAGCTCCCTGCCTCTGCTTTCAAGGTTAACCACGGACGCGCTCATGGATCACCCAAAGTAAAACCCGCGGGATCCCGGGAGATTCTGCTTTGGCTCCGCAGGGAGACGGCCCGCGCCCACGGCTCTGCTGCGGGAGCAGAGTCCCTCCGCCGCGGCCGCTGCTTCTTGTGGCCATGGTTGGGTCGAAGGCTGCGGGGGGACTCAGTTGCGTCCCTCCAAGCGCAGGTCTCGGCCCCGTCCAGCCCGGCCGAGCGCGCACCGCTCCGTTCTTGATGCGCTGAACGCGCGAGCAACACACACCACCACAGTCTTCTTGAGAAATGTATGGAAAAAGGGATGGTAAGGTGGGAAATGGAAGGAACTACTGGATTCCAAGGGTTGCGATGAGCATTAGGAAGTCCCGGTGGTTGCTGGTTATGGAGGAGGTGACATTCCTCTCTCTTCAGCACTTTTGAGACCACAGTTCTGCCCAGTTTTGGGCTCCCGAGTACGAGAAAAGCAGGGATGGAGATAGCGGAGCAGGTCCGGGAGGTGCAGGGAGAGGCTTTCGCTGCTGCCCACAAGTGCAGGAGGGTACGGGGCAGAGCCAGGCTCTTCGTGGAGATGGGTGGTGACAGGACAAGAGGCAGCGGCTCAAGTGGCAACGTGGGGGATTTTTATTAATAATTTTATTTTTTTTATTAATAATTTTAAAATCGTGAGGGTGATCGTGCAATGGAACAGAGCTCTTGGAGGGGAAACCCCATCAAGTCTCAGCTAGGCTGGTCCCCGAGCCATCAACCTGGAGCAGGAGGATGGACATGGAGATGGGGCCTTGCCTACGTAATCCTGTGCCGACTGTTGGAGATGCAGCACCACACGATCTTAACCACCCAAATTTATCCCTTCCCCATCACCCATAGGGGGAAGATCCCTCATCTGGCCAAAAGCTGTTCCCCAGAGGGTCACGGAGGCCATAGGTGATTTGGACGCAAGATCTTCTCAACTCCAGGCCCCTAGGGATGGGGCAGATGCTACTCGTAAGGTGCCTACAAGCCACAATTAAGCAGAGCAAGGCTGTTGTCAGGGAACTTGAACTCCCCCTGCAGAATCCACATCACCCACTGGATGCGTTCGAGGAGCTCGCTCCAGCTGGAGAGCGGCACCCGGCAGCTGATGGACCCGTGTCCCTCCCACCCAGCCGCTCCTCAGCTCCTGGAGACTCCGACACTACCGCTCGGACGTGCCGCTGAGGAGGTAAAATGAAGCGCAGCACCCTTTGGGAGAGCTCCGCAAGTTCAGCTGATCTGATCGCAGCTCATCACGGCGGTAACGGCCACTTGTCCACCCTCGAGTCAACTCGAGTCATCATCCATGCTTGGTCCAACGCAGGCAGCAGGAAGGAAACGGTTGGAAAACCCACGAGCAGCGAGGCACGGTACTAAGACGTAGGAAAAGCCAGGAGCACAGCACAAGGACGTAGGAAAAGCCAGGAGCACAGCGCTAAGACGCAGGAAAAGCCGGGAGCACAGCACAAGGACGTACACGCGAGCACAACCTGCCCGCATCGCTGAGAAGAGGAAGAGCTGAGCTTGCAGCGACCACCCCACCGCCCCGTCCCCAGCCACGCAGCAGCTCCGGGAGGAAAGGCAGCCTGCGGAAAGGAACAGGGGCGTTTATTCGGTATCTTAATGACAGGTAGCATGAAGTTCCTACTAGTTCCAAGGTCAAGTCCTGAAGAAAGGATGGACCTCTGCAATCGCATCGATTGTAGACTTTGGCTCTCTTTGGGGCCAGACTTGTGTGCAAGTACATTTGCAAGAGCAACGTCTGGAGCAGGCATCAACTTTTTTTTTTTTTTTTGATAGCAAGAGCTGCCAGAGGAAGGGGGAAGAGTCTTCCAGAAGGTGCTGGAGCCTGATCACCAAGCCTCGCTGCTCGGCAGAGAGCGGCTGGTCGCTGGAAGGACCCTGCCCGGCGCAGCTGCGAATCAGCCTCTGCTGGCAGCGACCCCGAGAAAGGCCCCGAGGTTTGCTTTTGGGAGAGAGACAACCCAAATACAACACCGCACTGTCGAAAGAGGTGAGGCCGCTGCCTTCAAATAAAGCCACCCGGGTATTTTTGTCCACACTGCGGATGGTGGCACAGAGCAGCGCCAGCAGCGTCTCTGCCAGAGAGCAAAAGGAAAACGCTGATTTCAAAAGAGCCCCCAAAATACGTGTACTTTGGGAAAATAAATTTGCAGAAAGAGAAAACAGCAGAACTTTAGCTACCACCACCACATCGCTGGCCCCAGAGAGGCTTCAGCGAGGCAGCGGACCCGCACGCTGCGGGT